CCCTGTGCTGATACGTCCGAAGACCTGGAGCCTCCCCACCAGGCCCCTCAAAGAAAAATTCTTCTCTTTCAAGTTTTGTCAGTTTGCTCCAGATATTCCAGTTGCTATTCTGTGTGAGGTTCACCTGTTACTACAACATCTTACACCCCATTACCCCATTTTTTTTTTTAGTTGGAGTCTCACTCCGTTGCCCAGGCTGGAGTCCAGTGGCACACTCAATAGCCACTCCAGCATCGATCTGCTGGGCTCCAGCAATCCTTAAACCTGTAGTTCCAAATAGCTGGAACTATAGGCATGCACTACCACACCTGGCGATTTTTGATTTATTGTAGATATGAGGTCTCGCCAAGTTGCCCGGGCTGGTCTCAAACCCATGGGCTCAGGCATTCTACTCATCTTGGCCTCCCAAAGTGCTGGGATTACAGGCTGAGCCACCGAGCCCCCTTGCACCCCATTTCTAGGATGACTGTCTTCAACATCATCAGACCAGAGATCCTGTCTCTGTCACTCATCATCTTCCTAGGTTCTGATTAGAAACTCTTTCTCCATATTGAATCCATCCTCAGGCCATGGTTCCTCAACCTCTGAACTGCTCCTAGACTCCATCCCTTCCCATTCCCTTGTCATTGTCCTGGTCGACACTTCTTTCTTGCCCATCCAGATTGCTGAACCAACCTCTTATTGTCCACACTGCTACCAGGGTGAGCTTTCTAAAACAGAGATCCCATTGAGTCACTTTATGGTCTTTCCTTCCTTCCTCCCTCCCTCCCTCCCTCCCTCCCTTCCTTCCTTCCTTCTTTCTTTTTGAGTTGAAGTTTAACTGTCACCCAGGCTGGAGTACAGTGGCACAATCACAGCTTACCGCAGCTTCGATCTCCTGGGCTCAAGTAAATCTTCTGCCTCAGCCTCCCAAGTAATAACCACCACACCTGGCTAATTTTTTGAATTTTTTTGTAGAGACAAGATCTTGCCAGTTCCCTAGGCTGGTCTTGAACTCCTGGCCTCAAGTGATCCTTCTGCCTCAGCCTCCTATAGTGCTGGGAGTATAGGTGTAAGCCACCAAGCCCAGCAACTTTCTGGCTTCAAGACTTTTATTAACTCCCTACTGTTATCTACACAGTGGATTTCAACCCTTATTTTTTTAAAAAAGGATTGAGCTGAGGTGAGTGGATTGCCTGAGCCCACGGGTTCGAGACCCGCCTGGGCAGCGAGACCTCATCTCTACAATAAATCAAAAAATCAGCTGGGCGTGGTAGCGCATGCCTGTAATTCTGGCTACTTGGAAGGCTGAGGTGGAAGGATTGCCAGAGCCCAGCAGGTCGAGGTTGTGGTGGGCGGAAGCGGCCACTGCACACCGGTCTGGGCAACAAAGTGAGACTCCAACTCAAAAAAAAAAAGGGTTGAAGCAGAAAAATTCCAAAATTTTTCATTAAGATGTTATAGGAGCCCCAGGATATAAAACAGATAAAATCTGAGCTGCTTCAGATAAAGCGGGGACAGAGACCTCAAAAACCTGCCCTAAAGCCCCCAGCCCTACAGCCTCTGGGGCCCAAGGCAGCTCTCCAAGGAACCCTGGAACTCTGCTGTCCAGTTGGAGGAAGCCTATGTTTCTCAGCTTGGCATAAAAGGCCCTATGGAATCTGGGCCCAGCTCTCCTTTCTGTCCTCATCACCAGTTACTCCACTGCAGACACCCCATGCTCCCTCTATACAAACCACACAGGACCCCAAACTGCCAAGCACTTAGGGCCCCATGCTGTGGCCCATGTAGCTTCCTCAGCCAGGTATGTCTTCCTGCTCATTGCTGTCTGGTGAAATTCTCATTGTCTTCCTAGGTTGAGCTCCAATGTCATCCTGTATGAAGCCTCTCCTTGCAAGCAACCCAGACAAACCTCCCACTCCTGAGAATTCAGTTCAGGTGAATAATTGAACCACTTACCACCTCTGTTACCTGGATCTGTTTCTCCTAACCTTATTTTCTTTTAAATCCTGGCCCAGATTATCAATAAATGTTTGTGGCATTATAAAGTTAAGACTGTATCCTTTAGTCCATCAGCAGCAGAGGTGAGTGAGCAGCACACAATTCCCTGATGAATTCTGAGAGCTTTGAGAGGAAGTGAGGAGGCCAAAAAGCCTTGAACTGGAAACCTGAGTCCTTGGATTCTAATTCTGGCTCTGCCCCACACAAAGTATTTAAGTTCAGTTGTCCATCGCCATGGTTTTAGTGCTCTTGGCATAACGACAATGATGCTTCTAGTGGCTAATATTTGTAGGATAGTTATCACATGGCAGGCACTACTAGAAGCGCTTTTCATGAATTAGCTCATTTTTGCTTTACAGAATGAAGGCCGAAGCATTTACTAGATGAATCCCTTTCTCCAGCTGCATTTGAGGTGGAAAGAGACTTTACAGGGATGAAGCAACCAAGACTCATAAGTGAAATGACTGCTCCAGATGACTCAGCCGTTGGCAGAATCGGCTGGTGGCAGGTCTCCTGTCTCTCAGGTAGCTATGCTTTCACCACATAACATTGCTTCCCTGTGACAAGAAGTGGCCTGGACACTGGCCAGAGCTACATTTGTCTGTGCAAAATGTTTTACAAAGCTTCAAGAGAGAGCTACAACGCTCAGTTATCAGCACCACTCAATCCATGCCAAAATATTCCTAATTTTAAAAAGTTATATAATTTCATTACAAATTTGGTTTAATTTTTTAAAAAATTATCACCTACTAAGAATTATAATCACATAAAATAATTTATTTAGCAAAGGCATGAGTGGTGCCAATAGATTCAAGGGTAGAAAAACTTCTTACTCTCAGCTATAGATGTGGTAATAACTGCTGGTGAAATCACAAGCAGAGCTCCTCAGATGGCTCACTCCCTGCAGTTAAGGCTGCTACCACATAGCTACAAGGACATGGAGTCCGTGACCCTCTGCTATACATCTGATGATAATTTTCTTAAAAGCGTGCCTCAATTCAAAGTGCATTTCCTAAGCAGCAGCATGATACCATGGAAAGAGAAGTGAATCTGAAGTCAAAACTCCCGCCATTGACCAAGTGATCTTTGGGGAAATCAGTTAATATGGCCAAGTCTCTAATTTGTCCTAAGGAAGATGTTATCAATTATCCCATGCCTGCCTAGCTGGGGTAGCTGTTAAGCTCCAGGGAGATGTGAATGAAGAGGACTAGCATGAGTTGCTGCTCACTTTTCTTCTTTAAGGAGCAGTTGTGTTTGCAGAATGCTCTCCAGACCTGTTTCCTCACTGTACCCCTGTCTTAGTCTGTTATGGATGCTATTAACAAAATACCATAGACTAGGTGGCTTATAAACAAAAGAAATTTATTTCTCACAGTTCTGAAGGCTATGAAATCCAAGATCATGGCCCCAGTAAATTCCATGTCTGATGAGGGCTCTCTTCCTGGTTCATAGACAGCCATCTTTTTTCACTGTGTTCTCACATGGCAGAAGGAAGGGATGAGGGGAGTTCTCTGGGGTTCCCTTTATAAGGGCACCAATCCTATTTATGAGGGCTCCACCCTCATGACCTAATCACTTCCCAAAGGTCCCCCATTACGTTGATGACTAGGTTTTAACATGTCAATGTTGGCAGGACACAAACACTCAGACCATAACAACCCCAGAGAAGGAAAGTGACTTAGCCAAGATTTACAGTACAGTGTGGGGTCACCACTTTCTAGCACTCTATCTTTTACCTAAACTGTTTGGGAGCTTCTTTAATTTCATTCTCCTTTTCTTAAGCTAGGGAACAGTAGACATTTTTGTAAACTTATATATTACTTTATCTTAAAACTTTTAACTACAGCCTAGCAGGATATCAAAAAATATATATATATATACATATATATATATATATATATATATATTTTTTTTTTTTTTTTTATAAAGCAACATTTATTGAGAGGACAGAAAAGCTCCCACAGTGGGAGGGGACCCGAAGGGGTTGCCTCAAAATAATATTTATTGAATACATTCTGGTGCCAAACCCTGGATACATAGTTTCATCTGACCCTCACAACAGCCCTGCAGTACTGGTATGATCAGGTCCCCTACTTGGATTCCACCTTTCTGGAACTGGAGAGTCAGGAGAGTTGAAGAAATTGCCCAAGATCCTATAGGCAGAAAGTGACAAAGGAGAATCAAACTATTTGCCCAACCAAAAACAATGCTTTTCCTACCAGCCCAGGGTGCCTCAACAGGCAAAAGAATCCCACAAAATTGGAGGAAAAGGACAGGGGGAAAAAAAACAACCTGTAATTCCAGCATGGTGGTCTCTGAGGCTATTTCAGAAATGTGCACACAACATTCGTGTTTTGATAAAAGCAGTATCTGCCGTATTAGGAAATAAAACGGCCTCTTTCTTGTTCTAAAGTTTTAAAAAGTAAACATTAAAACATACTTCGGGCTTGCTAACTTAAAATGGCGAAAGGATGGTGTCGCGTATTAATGTGCTTCCACAGTCGCTTGATTTGAGCACATGGTAAAAATGCACAGATGTAGGGCGGGTGATTCGGGGACCATGAGTCCCCATCATGCCCCCTCCCTGCCCCTGCACCTCAACGTACCCCCCGATCCATTCCGAGGGTGACGCTTTCACACAGGCTCTCTTAAGTCGTATCAATGCGAGGTCACTTTCCTGCCCGAAACACCGGTGGGGGCACTATGCACCCTCAGCTTGAAATGCCACCCCTGGTTTCCTGTACCTCCTGCCTCCAACCTGCAGTCCTGCCCACTAGCCTCCCGCCTCTCGCCTTCTGGCCCTTTTCCTTGCTCCGGAGGGCGGCAAGGCTAGGGCGGGCGGCGCCAGGCGCGGGCCGAAAGCTGCGGGCTGCGAGAACCCGGCGGAGCCAGGCGCATTGTGAAGCCACCCGAGCGTCACAGGAGACCCAGACCCGCGATCGGAGGGCGGGGCGGGTGTCCGCAGCGCCCCCTCGAGGCCTCGGGACCTGCGCGCAGAGCGGGCCGCGCCCGCAGGGAGCATGGCGCGCTTTGGCGGCTTGTCCCCGCGGCCCTACTGGGACCTCTGGGAGCCCCAGCTGCCGGGCCGGGAGCGCGGGGCCGCGCCGCAGCTGGACCTGTCGGGGCCCAGGACCGAGCCCGCCCTGTGCTCCCGGGCGGGGACCCCGGGCGCGGGGAGCGAGGCTGGCGCGCCCTGGCTGTGCCCACACTGCACGCCCATCCAGCGGCCTCGCCGGCGCCAGTACCCAGCCTCGCCGCTGGGAAGCCGCAGCCTGAACGACTTGGCCCGCAGACCCCCGGGCTGCGCCAGGAAGCACCGGCTCCGCGGCGGGCGCGTAGACGATGCCTGGGAGGAGGCAGGGACCAAGCCCCGCCCCGCCTGGCAGCAGCCGTCCCGGCTGCAACCCCAGCGGCCTCAGCCCTGCCCGCGATACCCTCTGGCCCAGAGAGATTCACCCTCGCCTTACCCCGAGAGAGCTTACACTCCCCTGAGTGGGACATTCGGGGTAGAAAAGGCACAGCGTGGAGACCAGTGGGCAGTGCCTGTCTGTGGACATCCAGATCGCTGGTCCCCTTCCTCGGTCCCCACGGAGAAGTCTTCGGTGCCCTCACAAAAGTTCAGGCCGCAGTCAGCCTGTGTGTCTCCCCGGAAGAGAGACAGCAATGATCTGGTTGAGTCATTAGCCAGTCAGTACTCCCAGCCCTCGGTCTCCAGCCGAGAGATGCAGAACCAGCATGCTCAAATCCTCCAGAGCAAGCTGGAGGAGGCGGTGGTGTCCTTCAGGGACCAGAAGATCCTGGCCCTCGTGCTGAACCGGCTCAAGAAGGCCCAGAGGATGCGGGAACTGCAGCAGCAGGCGGCTGAGGCCTGGGAGGAGCTGAAACGTTCCGACCAGAAGGTGCAGATGACTCTGGAGAGGGAGCGCCGGCTGCTGCTGCAGCAGAGCCAGGAGCAGTGGCAGCAGGAGAAGCGGCCGCGCAAACCCCGCGCCAGCCGTGAGCAGCGTGGCGGGCAGCAGGACAGCCAGGCCAAGAACGTGTTGCCAGGGGAGAGCCGGTGGAGGACGCCACTGGAGGACCAGGAGAACCTGCGCCAGGAGAAGCTGCAGAGGGCACACGCTCAGGCCGAGCGCCGGAAGCTGAGCCAGGTGCGGCGCCTGCGGGAGCAGGAGAAGATGCTGCAGCACCTGCGGGAGCAGCACAGCCTGCAGTTGCAGAAGAGGCTGGAGGAGGCGTGTCGCAAGAGGCACCTGCACGCCATGGAGGGCCAGAAGAAGGTCCAGGAAACCAACCTGAGCTCCCTCATCAATTACCAGGCCCGGAAGGTGCTCATGGACAGTCAGGCCAAGGCTGAGGAGCTCCTCAGGGAGTTGTCCCTGGAGCAGAGTCACCAGAGGTCCCAAGAGATCCACCAGGGCCTGATGAAGGAGCGTCATCGCGAGCTGAGGGAGAAGGCCCAGAAGGAGGAAGAGCAGTTACAGCAGGTCAAGTGGCGCGCGGGAGAGTCTGAGGAGCAGAGGAAGATGCGCAAGAGGATACTGGTGGAGCTGGCGGATGAGAAGATCCGGCAGGCCAGGAGCAACGTGCACAAGGCCACCAGGGACAAGGTGCAGCATCTCCGGGAGCTCAACATCCTGCGGGAGAAGAATAATCGCATCCTGAAGCTGAAGGCTGAGAAGGAGGACAAGTGCCACATCGAGGGCATCAAGGAAGCCATTGAGAAGAAGGGGCAGAGGATGAAGCAGGTCTCCCAAGGGAAAGACCCGACCTTTTTGGAGTTCCAAAAGATCTCCCAGGCCTCCAGGAGAGACGTGGGAGGGCGTCCCCACAGCTCCATCGATCCGATGGTGCTAGAGGCCCAGCTCCATGCCTGTCAGCAGAAAGGGCGCTACTGAGAGCCCAAAGGCAACGATTTAGAGCCTGCAGCCAAAGGGATGTGGCAATGTAGTTCCTGTTATAAGCTGATTATAATTGAGCATTGATTTTTTAAAAGTATATAAAATAGCTGCAATTTCCTCTCATGAACTGGCTTATTGATTCACTTGGATAGTTCAGAGGGTTGGAGAGAGAAATTTGGGAACTTTTAAGAAAATTACTTGGCTTTGTGAATTTTGACTCAAATTGAAAATATTCATTTAGCTCTCAAGTAATCTTCGAAGCACACAATATGTACCTCTTGGAGACACCAGAGAAAAACTTGCCATCAGGGATTCAGCTCTATGTCATGTCTTAATAATTATTTTCCTGTCCTAGAACTTATGAAAGAGTGAAGTGGGAAGTACCAATTATTAAAAAAACAAAAACAAAACTCCAAGACAAAAAAAAAAAAGAGGGGGAGGGGGAGGGAGGATTTCTGCAAATATGTAGATTTGGGAACCCGTATAATGTGTCTTCTCTTGGGTATTTGTAATGCACTTGAACATTTTAAGGGCTTTGGAAGGGCCTGCAGTTTCATACATATATATATATATATATATATATATATATATACACACACATACACACACACACAGATGTATATATCTGTTTAATCTAGTGTTTTGCACAAATCATGGAGCTCCTTTTTTGCTTCTTGGTCAATTTCAAGGAATTGATAGTCTGTGGAATATTTTTGGAAATGTCACTCTGCAGTTCCTCCCCCATTGTGAACTTCTTTGGCCTTCCCTCCCTGTGTTGACAGGAATGTTTATAATTCCATCAGCACTACATCTCTACTGTTCCACCACCACCATGCCATCCAAGAGCTCACTGGAATCTATTTGGTCTGATTCTCTCTCTCTCTCTGTCTCATCAGTCCTATTCAGTCTTATGGAGCAAAATTCTATTGGAATCCTTCTCTTCCCCTCTATTTCTCCTCTGTCTCTTTGGAAAGAAGTATGTGATGTCATTCTGTCTACCCACATTGTGCCTAATTAACCTAACCAGGCCCTGAATCAATGACTAAGCATGACTCAGTAGCATGACATTTTAAAATTAGGAGCCAGAAACTCAACAGAAATTAACCTATCACATCTCAAAGTCTCTATTGGAAAGCTCTAAATGTTTTCTTTAAAAAGCCCTAATGTAACATCTGTATTAGAGAGAGAAAAAATAAAATAAAATAGGCCTCACCCGAAGATTTTTTTCTTATTAGTAATTCCAAAACAACATTAAAAGTAACCTGACAAGGGATTTTGTGTGGAGGTCAGTTTGAGGTTCACTTTCTCGGCTCTTATAATGGACAGCAGGCCCTCTTCCCCCTTCTTTTTCTCCCCTAACCTAGCTCCCCTCTACTTGCTGCCCTAAGGCTCTTATTCCTTTGCTAAAAAATTATTCAGGGACCCATGGGTTTGAGAACAGCCTGGGCAACTTGACGAGACCTCATCTCTACAATAAATAAAAAAATTAACTGGGTGTGGTAGTGCGTACCTGTAGTTCCAGCCACTTGGATGGCTGGATCGCCTAAGACCAGCAGATTGATGCTGGAGTCACTGTAAGCATGCCACTGCACTCCAGCCTGGGCAACAGAGTGAGACTCCAACTCAACAACAACAACAACAATTTCAGGGAGCTCCATTGCTCAGAATGGAAGGGCTCACACATCGCAATTTCCAAACTTAATCTCCTTGCCCAAGTGAATTCTCCGTTCTCGCCAAATGCCATGGATGATACAGACATTCATGTGCTGAAGATGTTTCTAATAGACGTTGGCACAAACCCCAGCTCTTCCTCTTAATACAGCTGTGTGCGTTTGGGGAAGTAACCTCCCTGAGCCTTGGTTTCCTCGTCTGTAAAACAGAAAATAATTTATACTCCAAAGGCATGTTGCAAAAGATGATTTAAACTAGTTCATGTAAGGTACTTGGCACAGTGCCCAGAACCTGATAATTAAATATTGTGGTCTTTATTGTTAATAACACTGATCATGTACCCTTGTCAGTTCCATCTCCCTATTTTAATGCCTTTTCGCCAGCTGCCTCCTTCCATCATATCCATGTCTGGTTTTTCTGAGCTTAGTTCACGTTCTGCCTCTTCTGTGAAATGTGAGGCCTCCCATCTTGACATCACTCTTCTCTGACAAACTGCACAGCTCATTGAGCACTTAGTAGTTTCTGCTTTGTGCAGCATATCCATTTTGCAATCTACATCTTGGCTTCCTAACTGGGTCGTATGCTGCTTGAGGCCAAGATCATTGTCTTAGACCTCTTTATACTTATGGTGGTCTATGGTATTCTTAAGTATAAGCATATACTTATACTTAACGTAACTTAATATATAATCAGAATTAAAGCCATTAAATCCAGGTATGGTGGCTTATGCCTATAACCCCAGCACATTGGGAGGCCGAGGCAGGAGGGTTATACTTGAGTCCAGGAGTTTGAGACCAGCCTGGGCAATATACCTGGACCACATCTCTACAAAAAATAAAAAAATAAAAAATTAGTCAGATGTGGTGCACACACCTGAAGTTATAGCTACTTGGGAGACTGAGGTGGAAGGGTTGCCTGAACCCAGGAAGTTGAGCCTACACTGAACTGTGAATGTGCCATTGCACTTGAGCCTAGGAGACAGAGTAAAACCCTGTTTAAAAAAAAAGCCATTAAGCAAGATCTTTTGATTACACATCCATATCTTATGCCTTACATTCTTTTATCCAATTTTTTTTTTGAGTTGGAATCTCACTCCCTCACCCAGGCTGGAGTGTAGTGGCATGCTCATGGCCACCCCAGCATCAATCTGCTGGAATCCAGTGATACTTCTGCCTCAGCCTTCCAAGTAGCTGGAACTACAGGCACACACTACCGCACCCGGCTAATTTTTTAATTTTATTGTAGAGATGAGGCCTCACCATGTTGCCCAGGCTGGTCTCGAACCCGCGGATTCAAGCAATCCTCTCACCTCAGCTTCCCAAAGTGCCGGGATTACAGGCTTGAGCCACCGCACTCAACCTCTTTTATCCAATTTTTGTGATGATTACTGGTAGAAATAATCCATACAAAATAAAACTGACAGAAGTGGAGTAGACTGACTTTTCCCCATTTTCCCCTTAAGTACAACTAAAAGCCCTAAACATATGTTTCATATGAAACAATCATGAGAAGACTCTGAAAGGAAGAGTGAAGGCAGCTTGGGTAGAGACCTCAGGACTCAAGAGATCATATGGTGGTAAGTTTCCTGGGTTTCTTTTTCGCCTTGTGTATGCCAGATCTTGAGCTGACAAAATGGACAACCCCAGAACATCAAGACAAAGGAACAAGAAGGGCCAGCCTAACAAGACAATAACTTGAGACAATAACCATTCTATTCCAGGCAAACACCACGGAAAAATCTGCTGTCCCACCCTTACTCATGCTAGCAAAGACTGAGTGGGGAGCCTAGACATCTACCCTCTCCAAACTGTAACAAGGAGCTCCCTCCTTCTGCCTTAACAATGTCCGTAGCGACCACATGGGAAGCCTAGACTTGCAACCATTGCCTCCCTGTCACTTCTCTCTCTCACACACATACTGGTTGGTGTCACAGGAAGACTAGTGGAGAGTTAGGACTTTTATCAGTGTCTAGCATATCCCACTACCCTTTTCAGTAGAAGCCACCTGGGGAGCAGTAACGAAGCAGTCTCCCAGCCCTGGAGTATCATTAGAGGTCTAAAGGGGAGTCAAGAATCCCACACCCACTCAGCAGTAATGAGGAGCACTACATACGTGCACACACACATGTGCACACACCTCAGATGATGATGGAGACTGAGTGAGGACCTGGTCTTCCACCTCTACCTGCAGTAATGAGGCAATGACCTCTCTCTTTTCTGGAGTGATGTCAGAGGATGCCAGATAAAACAGGTCTATTCAATGAGATCTAGTCTTATAACATAGTACAAAATGTCTAGATTTCTACTGAGAATCGCTCTTTACACCAAGAACCAAGAATATCTCACACCAGGCTGGGCACAGTGCCTCATACCTGTAATCCCAGCACTTTGGAAGGCCAAGGCGGAGGATTGCTAGAGCCCAGGAGTTTGAGAACAGCCTGGGAAATATAGCGAGACCTTGTCTTTACAATGAATCAAAATACAATTTTTAAAAAAGGATACCTCAAACCCAATGAAAAAGACAATCAATAGCTGCCAACATGAGAGTGATACATGGAAGAATTAACTAAAAGTAGTTTTAAAGCAGTCATAATAAAAATGCTTTAAAGCAATTATGAAAACATTGAAACAAACAAATAAAAAAGAAAATTTCAGCAAACAAATGCAAAGTCTCAGCAGAGAAATTAAAAGTGTAAAGAAAAACCAAATCAAAAAATTTTAGAACTGGAAAACACAATGACAAAAAAGTTCAGTAGATGGGTTCAAAAACAGAATGGAGGAAACAGAGAGAGAATCTGTGAACTGGCAGACAGACCAATAAAAATTACCCATCTGAGAGACAACATTTATTGAAAAAAATAATAGAGTCTCATGGACCTATGAGACTATGTCAAAATATCTAACTTTCATGGTATGGAAATCCCAGAAAAAGAATAGAAAAAGGAGAGAGCTAGAAAAATGCTCAAGGAAATAATCGTGTAAAAATTTCTAAATGTGGTAAAGAATAAAATAAACCTTTAAATAGTAAATCCATATGATACAACATAAACTCTTAAAAGTAAAGACAGCCAGGCTCGGTGATTCAGCCTGTAATCCTAGCAGTTTGGGAGGCCGAGGAAAGTGGATTGCCTGAGTCCTTCGGTTTGCGATCTGCCTGGGCAACTTGGAGAGCCCTCATATCTACAATAAATCAAAAATTAGCCAGGTGTGGTAGTACACACCTGTAGTTCCAGCTACTTGGAAGACTGAGGCAGAAGGATCGCTGGATCCCAGCAGGTTGACGCTGGGTTGGCTGTGAGAGTGCCACTGCTCTCCAGCCTGAGTGAC